CCCCCTGAGTGCACAAATTTTTGTGCACCGGGCCTCTAGTTTAAAAATAAACTTTGACTCATGCATGCATGATACATATAAAGCTCTGGCTGACATACAGTCGATCATTTAGCCTTTTATATATATATATAATGACGTAATTTTTGCAGTAACGTAACTACTACACGAATCTTTCTTCTAATTAATTTCCTTTTAATGTACACGAATCCGTGCACTGGGCCATTAGTATTGAATAAGTGACTTATTCTACTTATAATGCATGCCATTAGCTATTATGTCTGGAAATGGTTTTTAAAGAAATTAGACAACCGATTTCTAGAAAGTAAAATTTTATTGTTTTTGATCCACATCTTGCTTTCCCTGTAGGACTGTCTGTGATGCACTATTGCCTTTTTGAGTTAAAATGTGTCTGTGATGTCAGCATTTTCTCTCCTCCCTCTGCAGTTACAATGGTGAATTCTAATAGCACATTAGCAAGAAAGAATTTTAAAAAATTGAACAGTTCCATGATGTTTCTTCTTAAGGCTTTTCAAGCATAACCTTTCAAAAAATTTAACATATTTAGAGTTGATAATACAGTTGAAGGAGGTGAGTAGAAAATATTCACAAGGATGATAGTCAAAAGTGTCATTAAGATTGGTTTTAATATTTTCCAGGTTTTACTGGGTTGCTCTAAGCATATTTAATATTTCATTAAGATTATAAAAATTTTGGCAGGAATAGTTGAACTAATTAATTTTTTTTAAAAAGATTAGATGCTTAAAGCCAGTCTCTATATTAAAAAGTAAGGAAATAGTAAGATCTTTTTATATAACTTAAAAAAAATCTTTATTGTTCAAAGTATTACATATATTCCCCTTTACCCCATTGACATCTCCCAGTCCGCTTCCGTTCCCACCCCAGGCTTTCACCACCCTATTGTCTGTCCACGTGTTATGCATATATGCATACAAGTTCATTGGTTGATCTCTTCCCAGGCCCCCATGCTCCCCTCCCTTCCCCCTGAGGTTTGACAATCTATTTGATGGTTTTATATCTCTGGATCTATTTTGTTCATCAGTTTATTTTGTTCACTAGATTACACATATGAGAGAGATCATGTGATATTTATCTCTCTCTGACTGGCTTATTTTGCTTAGCATGATGCTCTCCAGGACCCTCCATGCTATCTCAAACAAAGGGTAAGAGATTCTTCTTTTTTACTGCTATATGGTATTCCATGATGTACATGTACCACAGTTTTTAAATCCACTTATCTGCTCATGGTTATTTAAGCTGTTTCCAAATCTTAGCTATTATAAATCACGCTACTATGAACATAGGGGTGCATATATTCTTTCTGATCAGTGTTTCTGATTTCTTAGGATATATTCCTAGAGGTGGGGTCACTGGGTCAATGGAAGTTCCATTTTTAATTTTTTGAGGAAACTCCATACTGTTCTCCACAGAGGCTGCACCAGTCTGCATTCCCACTAGCAGTGTACTAGTGTTCCCTTTTCTCTACATAATTGCCAACACTTGTCATTTGTTTATTCATTGATGATAGCCATTCTGACAGGTGTGAGATGGTACCTCATTGTCATTTTGATTTGCATCTCTTGGATGAGTATTGA